AGGAGACAGCAAAGCCTAGAGAAGACAATTATGTTGGGGAAAGTGGAAGGTAAAAGGAAGAGGGGCCGACCAAGGGCAAGATGGATGGGTGGCATCCTTGAAGTGACTGGACTTACCTTGAAGGAGCTGGGGGTGGTGACGGCCGACAGGGAGCTCTGGCGTGGGCTGGTCCATGAGGTCACGAAGAGTCGGAGACGACTGAATGAATGAACAACAAAAACGAACTGCTGTGACTCAGCGCTTCAGGCCCATAACAATAACTTTGACTTGGTTTGATAGGTTGCCTAATTGACTGAGATTGCACTCTTTAACCAGGGTATTTTCCTTTCCATTGAATTTGCAGCCCAAACCCAGGGTCTCTTCCAGCAGTGGATGCCTTTCTCACAAAGCCTTCATGATCTTTAAAAGACTTTTCTTCTCTAGTTAACTTTCTTCGCTGGGGACCCCTGAGTCCCGTCTGCCACTTGAATGGGGTTTTAACCACGTGTGACATTTTTCTCCCTGCAGTTTCAAGTGTTTCCTTTGAAGGCGGCTTCTGTTCCAACACAAACACAGGAAAAGCAATTTACGGGCTATAAACCTTCCCCGAATATTTTGTGTGTGTGCAGAGTGTGTAAAATGCTCTCTGGAGACTCCAGCTTCTGGGAAGAATAAAAGGGGTTTCCCTGATATGTTATTGTTGGTGCTGGTAATTCGAGTGAAAGAAAGCATATAAAAAATATCTGGATTGGGTTGCTGTGAGTTTTCCGGGCTGTATGGCCATGTTTCGGACCCATTCTCTCCTGACGTTTCTCCCACATCTATGGTGGGCATCCTCACAGGTTGTGAGGTATGTTGAAAACCAGACAAGTGTGTTGTCGAAGGCTCTTGTGGCCAGAATCATTGGGTTGCTGTGGGTTTTCCAGGCTGTATGGCCATGTTTCAGACCCATTCTCTCCTGACGTTTCGCCCACATCTATGGTGGCCATTCTCAGATGTTGTGAGGTCTGTTGGAAACCAGGCAAGTGTGTTGTTGAAGGCTCTCGTGGCCAGAATCATTGGGTTGCTGTGAGTTTTCTGGGCTGTATAGCCATGTTTCAGACTCATTCTCTCCTGATGTTTCACCCACATCTATGGCAGGCATCCTCAGAGGTTATCAGGTCTATTGGAAACCAGGCAAGTGTGTTGTTGAAGGCTCTCATGGCCAGAATCATTGGTTTGCTGTGAGTTTTCTGGGCTGTATGGCCATGTTTCAGACCCATTCTCTCTTGATGTTTTGCCCATATCTATGGTCCTCAGAGGTTGTGAGGTCTATTGGAAACTAACCAAGTGAGGTTCATATATCTGTGGAATGATGGCCACAGTGGGAGAAAGAACTCTTGTCTGTTGGAGGCAAGTGTGAATGTTGCAATTGGCCACCTTGATTAGCATTGAATGGCCTTGCAACTTCAAAGCCTGGCTGCTTCCTGCCTGGGGGAATCCTTTGTTGGGAGGTGTTAGCTGGCCCAGATTGATTCTTTCCTGGAATTCCCCAGTTTTCTGAGTATTGTTTTTTATTTACTGCCCTGATTTTTGAGTTTTTTTAAAATAAACTTTTAAAAATCCTGGACATTCCACAGATATATAAATCCCTCTTGCCTAGTTTCCAACAGACCTCACAACTTCTGAGGATGTCTGCCATAAAGGTCAGGAGATAATGCTTCTGGAACATGGCTATACAACCCAGAAAACTCATAGCAACCCAGTTATTCCACCCATGAAAGCCTTCAACAACACATTGAATATCTAGATTTGTACATCTCTTTCAGAGTAAGGACACAAGTGACATTCAAAGGAAACATCTGAGGTCAGAGGTGCATCTTCTAATGCAGTTTGATGCCACTTTTAAGTGCCATGGCTCAATGTTACCCAATCAGGGGAGCTGTAGTTCAGCCTGCTCTGCCAAAGAGTGCTGTTGCCTTAACAAACTATAGCCCCCAGCATTCCATAGTACTGAGCCATGGCAGTAAAAGTGGTGTCAAACTGCACTGATTCTACAGTGTAGACCTTGACACTTAGTTCACTTGCAACCAGAGAGCACTGTGAACTGAAACAAGGATGGATCTGGACCAAACTTGGCATGAATACTCCATATGCCCAATTGTGAACACTGGTGGAGTTTGGGGAAAATGGACCTTGACATTTGGGAGTTGTAGTTGCTGGGATTTATAGTTCACCTACAGTCAAAGAGCATTCTGAACCCCCAATGATAGAATTGGGCCAAACTTCCCACACAGAACCCTCATGACCAACAGAAAATACTGTGTTTTCTGATGGTCTTTGGTGACCCCTTTGACACCCCCTTGCGCGCGCCCCTCCCCAGGGATCCTGACCTCAAAGTTGAGAAACACTGCAATAGGGCAATGAAACACAAGCAAGGAAATGAGAACCTAGCAATAAACAGGCCACCACTTCCTTAGAGGTGCAAAAAGGGATCAATTGGAGGTCTGGGAATGTCACGCCACAAACAGGGTAATAAGCCCCAAGAGACAGCAGTCGTCGATGTAGGAATTAGAAATGGCATTTTGATGTAGTTTGATTTTGTTCGATTGGGCCAAATTGAGGCTTCAAAAGGCCCAGATGGTATATTGATATATTGAATGATTGTAATTGGGACGTTTGCTTTCCTGAACTGTTTTGATAAGCATCTGATCAAATGCGCCATGTGTAGATGCACCCTAGGAGCTCAATGCCTTTAGAAGAGGTTCTCTAGGGAATATTCCCTTTTTCCATGAGAGGGGTGGATTCCTAATTGTTCCAATGAAGAGTTGGAGCTGAGACTTGTTTCCCAGGCATGCGGCAACAAAACTCCTCATTTCTGCGAAGGCAGGAAGCATTTCAGTATAACCTGGTTGTAAAGGAACAGATAGCCCCATAAAAAGCTCTGGAAAGGGATTCGGGGAGGAGCACGCAATGTTTGCCTCCAAGTTGTCTTAGCCCTATGATCTTGATTCAGGGAGAAATGAGATAGGTTTATGATCCTTTCACAATGCAGCTCGAATCCCCGGTGTGTTGGGAAGCAATTATCAGGAACATTGCGAGCTTCCTTTCATATAAAAAAAGGCTGCAGCGTGCACTCCTTTTGTAGCCTGAAATTAGCTAAAAGGTCTGTTGTGTTGGGCTGGGAGGAAAGGTGAATGACAGCATTTTCTAAAATAAGTTTGCTTATTATGTGCTATCATCAAGTCGACTTCAACTTAGGATGACCCTATGACAGACTTTCAAAGCCGCCACCTGAACATCAGATTACACCTGAACATTAGGAAGAACTTCCTGACTGTGAGCGCTGTTCAGCAGTGGAACTCTCTGCTTTGGAGTGTGGTGGAGGCTCCATCTTTGGAGGCTTTGAAACAATGCCTGGATGGCCATCTGTTGGGGATGTTTTGAAGGTGATTTTCCTGCTTCTTGGCAGAACGGGTTCAACTGGATGGCCCATGAGGTCTCTTCCAACTCATATTATTCTATGATATGTTTGGGTCTTGCAAATTCAGGGCAGTTGTGCATTGTGCCAATCCTAAAATCCTAGATTTGGAAGAGATTACAAGGGCCATCCAGTCTAACCCCATTCTGGAGGACACAATCAAAGTTCTCTTGACAGATAGACATCCAGACTCTGCTCAATATCCATCTGCTAGCGTATATAACTGGCGCCCGAGTTTGCGTTTCCTTTGTAGCTTTTCCTTTCTTCCTCTTCTCCTTCATACATATTCTCTCCCCTTCTTTTTCTTTCTTCCCTCCCCTTTTCCTTTTCTCTTCCCTTCTTTATTTTCTTTCCTTCTCTTTCCACATACCACATACCAATTTTTCTGTAACCCACCTTGAGCCATGAGAAGAGGCAGGTAATACATAAAACTATTACTACTACTACTACTACTACTACCACTACCACCACCACTACTGCCAGTACCTTTCTCCCTTTCCTTTGTCTTCCTTCATCAGGTGTTTTCTTGGAAGTCACTGTCCCATCTACACTGCCATATAAAATCCAGATTATCTGCTTTGGACTGGATTATATAGCAGTGTAGACTCATATAATCCAAAACAGATAATCTGGATTATCTGCTTTGATGATCCAAATTTTATGGCAGTGTAGAAGGGGCCATGGTCTCTCACTCTCAGAGCATGGCACAGGTATATACTCTGAGGATTACCTGGGAAGGAATCCCACTGGAGCATTGCAGCACATCCAGATACCTGTGAGTTACCTTGGACCGTGCTCTGACCTACAAGAAGCACTGCTTGAATATCAAGCAAAAAGTGGGTGCAATACCATACGAAAGCTGACTGGCACAACCTGGGAATCACAACCAGGCACAGTGAAGACATCTGCCCTTGTGCTTTGCTACCCTGATGCTGAATATGCATGCCCAGTGTGGAATACATCTCACCATATTAAAACCGTGGATGTGGCTCTTAATGAGACAGTATTATCACAGGATGTCTACACCCTACGCCATAGAAGAAATTATACTGTTTACCGGTACTGCACCGCCTGACATTCGTCAGGAAGTAGTAAGTAGCCTGTAATGAAAGGACCAAGGCATTGATATCTTTGACCCATCCTGTTTGGATATCAGCCAGCAAGTCAATGCCTTAAATCAAGAAATAGCTTCCTAAGTTCTACAGAGATGTCGCAGGAACACCTCAGCAAGCAAGAGTCCAAAAGTGGCAGGCAAAATCCTGGAACCTCAATCAGTGGCCAATACCAGATGAGGGACTCCCTGCTGGGCACACAGAAGACAAGCCAACTTGGAAGGCACTGAACAGACTGCTCTCTGGCACCACAAGATGCAGAGGTAACCTTCAGAAATGGGGCTACAAAGTGGAGTCAGAAAATGAGGAATTCAGTTAAGTGTGTTGGGACTCAATATGACCCACTCACTGTATGTATAGTTGAAAAGAAGGTTCTACTCTCCAGTTTAAAGACAAGCAAAATGGCGAGATGGAAAGAAGAGTCAAATGAATTCACGCTCAGCCGCTCACTCTCTCCATTAATCATTGTAATCAAATTTTGAAATATACAAAATATATAAATTAAGATATTTTACACAAGGCACGTGTGGTGTTTTGTTTTGAAAGTCTGGAAGTCTGTACATTCTGTTCAGCCCACGTCACAAAACGTAGGGTGCCAACGACCCATGGCTGTCGTGGCAGCTGAGGATCTCCTTCCTGGTCAGCCCAACCTGTCTGTGGTATTGCCCTTCCCGGATTGTCTTTAGGCACTTGACGTTCTTGCCCAAGGTGACGCTTTTGATGGAAGGCAGGTACTTCAGCATGCTTTTTGACAAAGACGTGGCTACCCCTGTACCCGACAGGTTGAGTTCTTGCAAGGAACCCAGGCTGTAGAAGACTTCGGCATCTAATGAATGAAGACTGGGATTGTTGGATAAATCCAACACTTGGAGAGCAGGGAGATCTTTGAAGGCATACGGTGATATTACCGAAAGGTCATAAATACTATTGAGTGACAAGTGCATTAAATCCTTCAATCCAGAGAACGCCCCTTTCCCAATGGCAGAGATTGGGTTTCCATCAAGGCTTAAGTACCGGAGAGGAATCCCTTGAAGAACAGGGATGTTCCTCAACCTATTTCCAGACAGGTTTAAGCTCTGAATGTTGGGGATGGCTTTGTCTTGGTGCCTCAAAACCAGGCTTATCAAGTTGTTGGAGAGGTCAACGTTAATCGGTTTCCGTTGGCCTTTTGACGTGAATACGTCCATTGAGATTTCCAGGATGAGGTTGTTGCTCAGGTCAATCTCTCCCAAGGGTGACCTGGAAAAGCAATCTTCTGGCAGAGCAACCAAAGAGTTATGACTCAGGTCCAAAGATTCCAGATACCTGAGTCTTGAGAAGGTGGTGGAAACAATCTTTGAGATTGTGTTGTAGCTCAAATCCAGACTAACCAGGGTGGTATATCCAGGTCCGGTCAACATGGACTCGTTGAGAGACTCAAGATGGTTCGACGATAGATCCAAGTAGGTTGTATCCAGTGGGATGGGGACAGGCACAATATGCGCTCCAAGGCCACTGCAGTCCACCTTGGTCAGGCTGAAGCTGTCGAACAGACCAAAGCTCTCCACCTCGCAGTGACATCCCGGGAAGCAAATCTTGGAGGACCCAACGCTGGGGAGAAGCAGCAGCAAGTTGACCAACAATGAGAGAGGCATTGCTGACTCTGTAAAGCAAAAGGACACATACATAAGAAAGCAATAATAATAATAATAATAATAATAATAATATAATAATAATAATAGATTCCGGCACAAGGCAGTCAAGGTGGTCCCAGTGGTGATTGGCACACTAGGTACAGTGCCTAAAGATGTTGACCTGCACTTAAACACACATTACCATCTGCCAGCTGCAGAAGGCCACCTTACTGGGATCTGCACGCATTATTTGCCAATATATCACACAGTCCTAGACACTTGGGAAGTGTCCGACATGTGATCCAATGCAACAGCCAGCAGAGTGTTTGCTGTGGACTCATCTTGTTGGGTTTCAAATAATAATAATAATCATCATCACCACCACCACATCATCTATATAAATAAAAATGTAATGTTCGTTTGTGGGATTAAAGTAACTCCAAAACCACTGAACGAATTGACACCAAAGTTGGACACAACACACCTATCAGGCCCATGGGTGACCATAGAATCATAGAATCAAAGAGTTGGAAGAGACCTCATGGGCCATCCAGTCCAACCCCATTCTGCCAAGAAGCAGGAATATTGCATTCAAATCACCCCTGACAGATGGCCATCCAGCCTCTTTTTAAAAGCTTCCAAAGAAGGAGCCTCCACCACACTCCGGGGCAGAGAGTTCCACTGCTGAACGGCTCTCACAGTCAGGAAGTTCTTCCTCATGTTCAGATGGAATCTCCTCTCTTGTAGTTTGAAGCCATTGTTCCGCGTCCTAGTCTCCAGGGAAGCAGAAAACAAGCTTGCTCCCTCCTCCCTGTGGCTTCCTCTCACATGGCTATCATATCTCCTCTCAGCCTTCTCTTCTTCAGGCTAAACATGCCCAGTTCCCTAAGCCGCTCCTCATAGGGCTTCTTCTCCAGACCCTTGATCATTTTAGTCGCCCTCCTCTGGACACATTCCAGCTTGTCAATATCTCTCTTGAATTGTGGTGCCCAGAATTGGACACAATATTCCAGGTGTGGTCTAACCAAAGCGGAATAGAGCAGGAGCATTACTTCCCTAGATCTAGACACTATGCTCCTATTGGAAACATTGAAAAACACAGCAGAAGAGACTTTAAAAGCCAAAAAACCCAAAAAAAATCAATTACAACGCATGCGCAAAACCACATATATACACAAACACACGTACACAAATATACACATGCATTAGCATATATATACACACGAAACACATATACACAGAAAGGGGGAAAGAAGGAAGAAAGAAAGGAGAGAAGGAGGGATAGAAAGAGGGAAAGAAGGAGGGAAGGATAGAAGGAAAGAAAGGTAGTGAAGGAAGGAAGGAGAGAAGGAACAAAAGAGAGAAAGAGGGATGAAAGGAAGGAAGGAAAGAGAGAAGGAAGGATGGAACCAAAGAGCAAAGGATGGGAGGAAAGAAACAGGTAGAGAAGGAAGAAAGAAGAAGGGAAAGAAGAAGGAAAACAAAAGGAGGGAAGGAAGGAGTGAAAGAAAGGAAAGAAAGAGAGAGGGAAGGTTTGGCCACAGTCACTAATAAAAACACTGAAAAACACAGCGGAAGAACTTAAAAAGGCAAAAAAAAAATACGCATACCCACATAAAACACATATACACCATACACACACACACATATATATAAATATACACAAATATATACACACACAAAACACATGTACACAAACTGGGACACAGCAATGAGTGGCAGGGGACAGCTAGTCCATATAAATAAAAATGTAATATATAAAATAATAATAATACGTTTTGTTGAAGGCTTTCATGACCGGAATCACTGGGTTGTTGTGAGTTTTCCAGGCTGTAAGGCCATGTTCCAGAAGCATTTTCTCCTGACATTTCACCCACATCTATGGCAGGCTTTTTTTTTTTTTGTCGTGTCAGGAGCAACTTCAGAAACTGCCAGTCACTTCTGGTGTGAGAGAATTGGCCATTGGCCATCTGCAAGGACGTTGCCCAGGGGACACCCGGATGATTTGATGTTTTTATCATCCTTGTTGGAGTCTTCTCTCATGTCCCCGCATGAGGAGCTGGAGCTGATAGAGGGAGCTCATCCGCCTCTCCCTGGATTCGAACCTGCGACCTGTCGGTCTTCAGTCCTGCCGGCACAGGGGTTTAACCCACTGCGCCACCGGGGGCTCCATCTATGGCAGGTATCCTCAGAGGTTGGACTAGATGACCCTTGGGCTACCCTCCCACTAAGATTCCAATGTTATTGCTGGACTTTTAACAGAGTCCCTTTCAAAGCTGGACAGAACAGGGCCAATGCTTCCTTGGCTCTCATAGCAATTGAGCCATTCTCTTTGCAAACTAAGATTAGATCTTGAGAACGCACCCAACTCCGCTGGAGCAGACCAGCTGAAGCAACCTGGTGTGAATTTACAGCAGCGGGCAATTTCAAGGCAAGAATGGAAAGGCAGGCGCAGGCAGGACGCTGAGGAAGAGAGCTATTTGGGAAAAGAGAGATGACAATAGGGATAAATTCCACAGCCGCAGGAGGAGAGAGAGAGAGAGATCACGCAGCCCCTTCTATTTTTAAACCGGAAAGAGACTTTGCCAGCCCAATGGGGAATGAAGCGGTAGGAAATAAACCAAAACCAAGAGTGATGCTGTACTTTGTCAGCGACAGCCACCCTTTCATGCGACGCCCCCTCCTGCTCTCCAAAAATGTGCCGAAATGTTTGTCAAAGTTTGAAAGACTCCTATTATTTCTGCCAGTACTAATTATCTATGTTTAAGAGGAAGGCACATAATGTCTTCTGCCATTGACTTAAGTTTGCTGTTAGCTGCCTTGAGTCCCTATATTGGGAGAAAGGTGGGATCAGTAGGTACTGATTGGGAGAAAGGTCACTTCCCCCTCATGCTGCCCCTCCCCATATATTTATTTATTTATTTATTTGGGGTTCTTTTACCCCGCCCTTCTCACCCCGAAGGGGACTCAGGGGGGCTACAAGCAAAGGCACAATTTGATGCCTGCATCAAAAAACAATCATACACAAAATTACATCAATTCACAGTTGACAACAATTCATACATTATAACAATAAAATCAATAAAATCAATAAAACCAATACAAACCCAGTTTCTCCTCTTACATGGGCAGCGTTCTCTAACTCATAGATCTAATTTAACGTTCCACTTCATCAATCCTGTTGATCTTACTCGCCTGATTGTCTGATTTAATTGCCAGAGTGCCCAAAGGCCTGGTCCCATAACCACGTCTTCACCCTCCTCCTGAAGGAGAGGAGGGATGATGATGCCCTGATTTCCCCCGGGAGTGAGTTCCACAGGTGAGGGGCCACCACTGAGAAGGCCCTGCTCCTCGTCCCCGCCAGCCTCACTTGAGACAATGGCGGAGTCGAGAGCAGGGCCTCCCCAGATGATCTCAAGCTCCGGGGTGGGACGTAGAGGGAGATACGTTCGGACAGATACACTGGACCGGAACCGTACAGGGTTTTGTAGGTCAAAACCAGCACCTTGAATTGTGCTCGGAACTGAATCGGCAGCCAGTGGAGCTGGCACAGCAGGGGGGTGGTATGCTCCCTGTATGTCGCTCCGGTGAGCAATCTGGCTGCCGCTCGCTGGACTAGTTGAAGTTTCCGAACAGTCTTCAAGGGCAACCCCACGTAGAGAGCGTTGCAGTAGTCTATTCGGGATGTAACAAGAGCGTGGACCACCGTGGCCAGATCAGACTTCCCAAGATACGGGCGCAACTGGTGCACAAGTTTTAATTGCGCAAAAGCTCTCCCGGCCACCGCTGAGACCTGGGGTTCCAGGCTCAGCGATGAGTCCAGGATCACTCCCAAGCTGCGAACCTGCGTCTTCAGGGGGAGTGTAACCCCATCCAGCACAGGCTGTAACCCTATACCCTGTTCGGCCTTACGACTGACCAGTAGGACCTCTGTCTTGTCTGGATTCAATTTCAATTTGTTAGCTCTCATCCAGTCCGACACAGCAGCTAGACACCGATTCAAGGTCTGGACAGCCTCCTTGGTGACAGGTGAGAAGGAGTGACAGATCTGGACATCATCTGCGTAGAGATAACATCTCAGTCCGAAACTCCGAATGATCTCCCCCAGCGGCTTCATGTAGATGTTAAATAACATTGGGGACAGAATCGAACCCTGTGGGACTCCACACGACAACGGTTGTGGGGCCGAACAGGTGTCACCCAGTAACACCTTCTGGGACCGTCCCTCAAGAAATGACTGGAGCCACTGCAAAGCAGTACCCCCAAGACCCATGTCTGTGAGGCGTCCCAGAAGGATACCGTGATCGACGGTATCGAAGGCCGCTGAGAGGTCCAGCAGAACTAACAGGGACACACTCCCCCTGTCCAGTTCCCTGCGCAGATCATCTACCAAGGCGACCAAGGCTGTTTCCGTTCCATGTCCCGGTCTAAAGCCAGACTGTGCCGGATCAAGATAATCAGTGTCTACCAGAAATCCCTGGAGTTGTGCTGCCACCACACGTTCCAGGACTTTGCCCAAATAGGGGAGATTGGAAACTGGCCGATAGTTGTCTAATTGAGTGGGGTCCAGTGATGGTTTTTTCAACAGCGGTTTGATAATAGCTTGTTTTAAGCTCGCTGGAATCTTGCCCTCCTGTAAGGAGGCATTAACCACCACCTTCACCCACTCTGCCAACCCCCTCTGGCTTCTTTTATCAGCCAGGATGGGCAGGGGTCTAGGATGCATGTGGTGGGTCGCACCTCTCCAAGGATCCTGTCCACATCCTCAAGCTGAACCAATTGAAATGAATCCAATAAGACCTGACAAGCAGATGCTCTCGTTACATTCTCAGAGACTGCAGGTAAGGTGGTGTCAAAAACCGACCGAATCCGCCCAATTTTATCTGCGAAGAATCGAGCAAACGCTTCACAGCGAGCTCCAGAACTGTCAGGGATCTCGCTTTTCGGCGGGTTTAACAGACCCCTGACAACTCGGAAGAGCTCAGCTGGACGATTCTTCGCAGATGCAATATTGGCAGCAAAAGCTGTT